ATCTTCAAACTTAAACTCGAATACTCCTTGGCTACGCTCACGCCAAATTTTATCCCGATCGGATCAGCCGTTTTAGAAATGCCAGATTTTATTTCCCAATAAATGTCCATTCTGCCCCAGCTGTGCGTTGCAAATATGGACCAAAAAAATGGTTTTTAAATTTTAAGACGCGATATCTCGAAAACCGAATGCAATGAAGAAATACTGAGGCCAAATCCGGTTTCAGTGCTGCTCAATTATATAGAAAAGTATAATTAAGTCTCGACTTTTTTTAAAAATTTGTTGACCTGTGTAATCGTCCCCGAAATACATGATACTCAATAATGTGAAATCAAAAGCTATTAATATCTATCTAATCTTCTTCTATCTTCTATATATATAAAAATCAATGTATGTTTGTAGGAGGCTAAACCACTGAAGCGATCTTCTTGAAATTTTCAGTGTATGTTCCCCTATATCTGGAAAGAACTATAGGCTACTTTTTATTTTGAAATTGCAGAGTGGGAGTGGTGCCACGCCCACTTCTTTAAAAGTCGAATATCTCGGTACATGGTACAACTAGAGTCCTCAAATTTGTTATGGACAATTTTGACATTCATATGATAATTTGGTGGAAATAATTTGGAGGACTAGCAATAGGGGGCGTGGTACCCCCATCTATTTATATAAAAATTAATGTGTATTTGTATGTTTGGACTTTAAAGACAGCTAAACGGACCGGACCGATTTTTCTGAAATTTTCAGTCTCTTCCTGTATGCCTGGAAGGAACTATAGGCTACTTTTTACTTCAAAATTTGAAGTGGGCGACGTGCCACGCTCACATTAAAAATTAGTATTAAAAGTCGCATATCTCAGAAACTGCAAGAATTGGAGTCCTCAAATGACACCTTCCATATGAAGAAAATATTAAATCTGAGAAAATATAAGATAGAGTCCTCAAATTTTGTCGGAACCATATAGTGTCAATATTATTATTTAGGAAAAAGGGGACGGACTAAAAGTAGAGGGCGTGGCATCTCCCATAAGAATTAAATTTAAAAAATCGCTTATCTGGGAAACTATTAGTGTCAGATTCTTCAAATTTTTTAACATTCATGTAAACATATTTTGGGTAATAAATTGGCGGACTACCAATGGGGGACATTGCTCCTCCCATATGAATAAAATATAGAAAAATTCGTTTTATCTGGGGAACTAATAGAGCTAGCATCTTAAAATTTTGCACGAAGAACTTTAATATTCATATGAATATTTTGGGGAAAAAAGGGCGGACTTTCATCAGGGGGGGCTTGGAACGCCCCATATAAATTAAATAGATTAAATAAATTCGTATATCTGAGAAACTATTATGTTATTCAAATTTTTCATAGGTTACATTAAAATCTAAATTAACGTTTTGAAAAATTGACGAACTTGCAATAATTTGTGTAACATCCCCAAAATGTAAAAAATGTATATCTGGAAAAACTATGTATAGTTAGAATCTTCAAAATCGTAGTGTTTTTTTATTTACATTGCATTTAGGTTAGCAAAGTACACTGGGTATAGCTAGTGTTATTATAAAACTCAAAATAGTTAATCTGTTACAAAAAACACAATATTTATTTATTCCAAAAATAACAGATATTAAAGTTATTTTTAGATCGTAAAATATTTAAATTTTTCGTTTTTCGTTTTTCGCAATCACTATAATTTGATTAAGCTCAAAATTTGTTTAAGATTAAAAAAAAAAACTTGTTTACAAAATTTTTAATTTAAAACTGAATTATATAATTAATTCAATTAAAGCATTTTATAGCTTTATTTAAATATACATTTATTATTTGTATTTATATTGGCATGTGTTCCGAATTATTAGATACATATAAGATTCAAGTCATTAAATTTTATAAAATTTTCTTTAAATATGTTTTATTTATTTCACCAAAATTTCACTAAATTTTAAACTTTTTAAAAAGAGATTTTTACCGCCTGGGGAATTTAAAACTTTTAAAATTTAATTTTTTTATATAAATATTTGAAAAATTTTTTGTGCGATTAAAATTTAGATTAATTAAACCTTATTTTCAGTAATTTATATATTTTTTAAACACTTTTTATCAACTTTTAACGCATAATAAGTTTTTCTCTTAAAAATTCATTGACACGTGGTTGAAAACTTTAGCTTTTTAAAATATTTTATTAGTATTTAGTTTTTTTAGTAAATAATCATATTTTTAACTCTCTTCTCAACATTTCACTTTTTCTTTAACAAATATTTAACTCAAGGAAGGATCTTTATCCATTTACCTTGTAATCACTCATGTTTTAAACGTTTACTTATAGTTACACACGCCCGCTAACTTTTCGAAAAAACTGCTGTTACCGTTAAGACGTCACAATTAAGAAAAAACCTTGTATCAAGCCAAACGATGCTTCTTATATACCCCAGCAGCAGCTATAACAGTCGTCACACCACCCAAATGTTGTTTTATCTAGGTTCATTCTCATTCTCAGCTTCATTAGGATTCAATTTTGTGTATCGAAAAAACCAGTCGTATTTTTATCGGTTTGTTATTTTTGGGTTCACCTGGTTGTTGTTTGTTGATCTAGAATAGTTTGAGTAGAAATCTAATAAAAACAAAATTTAAAAAACCGGTGTTTGTTCAAAAACAAAATTATTCAATATTAAGTTTAGTTATTTTTTTTTTTTTAAGTGTTCAGTTTTATTGCATATTAACCAGTTATGAAACTAGTGGAACCAAATGCCGGTCAATTTCTTTTTGTTGTTTTTAAACTGGATTTATATGCAGATTAATGAAAAACACCACCTGATGTTGTTGTTTACATTTATTTGGATTTGAATACAACTTATGTACCTGTTGTAAATTACTTGTCATAAGATCAATTTGTATTAGGGTAATGCCCTTTTAGGTAGTAGACGATATGTTATGATAGTCTGGATATAGTCTGGATTCTAATAAATTCTAAGAAGATCCAGCTATAACCATCTGAGAGTCTCTTTATATTACGCTAGGCCCCAATTGTTGAGGACCTAAAGAAAACAAACATTGTTCGCGGTTGTTAAAGAAATTAAATTATTTATGGCTGTTTAATATGCATTTCAGGAGGCCACATGTGGTAAAATCGTGGACTTATGTTACTCATTTATAATACATAATAACTGTGCAACAGGTCAGCCTAATCTAATCCTCCCGTAAGATCCTATCGTGCTTTCAACAGACATACTTACAAATACTTAATACAATTCAGGATATACTGATGGGTCTACGACCAGTATTTCGATGTATTACAAAAGAAATGATGAAATCAATGCATCGTTTGGCTGGATTAAACAATCATATCATCATCCTCATCTTAATGAAGATCGTTATCATGATCAATGATTTTTGTTTGAAAATATGATTATGATTTATTCAAGGTGGGACTACAACCAGTATTTCGATGTGTTTAGAAACGGAATGATAAAATCCATGCATCGTTTGGTGCGGTTTACGCGATCGTATCGTCATTTACTCTAATCTAATTTCAGAAAATGTATCTGTCAATTAGTCCTCCAAGGTCGTGAGATTTGACACTTCTCGATTATTTCCTGTTGGCGCCACATCAGGTCTCTAGTTAAATCTGCAACAATTAACGACGTCTTAGAGGCCAAAATTGTTCACGACAACGCTCAATATTGTTGTTCAATATTGGACGTCCAGAATGTATTTCGTTAAAAGACTTGCTGAGGCTCTACAAGAAATCGATCATTCAGACATATTAGTTATATCGTTGTTATGTGCCGATTTTCAAAACAGCCGTAAGTAGGAGACTTCAGCTGAAATTGAAGTAAATGTGACGTTCAGTTTCAAAGACAATGATCGCGAAGAAGATTATTATGACATGACAATGTCTCTTCGATATGCTTTATATACAAGTGGATGCTGATATCTGAAACATTTGACACCGAAATGTGTAGTATTCGAGTTGAAAGTAGTGCCTGATAAGGACAACGAAAGATTATCACTATTGCGATTTGTTTTACACATAAAGTAGAAGATGATGTCAGAGGCACTTGATGTATGTTAAAGCTATAGTTATAAAAGGCTAACATTGCTACACATTGCGACCAGACATTCTAGATGAAGTAACTGTGCATTCATGTTCGAAAAGTAGCATAATGAATGTGAAGAAGTTAATGACGATATGAAGATCACTCTTTCGATCAGCAATTCGTTCAAGTGTGAAGCACCTGACACTGGATTACGATGAGGGCGAAGAATATAAAAGCCGTTTTCAGAATTTCTATTTCGTTTTGCATTATACGTACAAGTGGGACATGACGTTAGAAGCGTCTAATGTGGGTTAAATCTTTAGGAATAAAAGGCAATAGCATTTGATACATTGGGATCAGAGAAATTAGGTTCTATAGGTTAGGCTGCATTTTTGTTTCAAGATAGACTTAAACATTATCTGCAATATGAAAAATGACTCAATAGTGGATCACATCTTAACAAATAACAACAATTAAACTGTTTGTGTTTAAGAATAAAATACATTTAAAGTTTATTGCTCTTTTATAATTTAAAAATAAAACTGATAATACACAATATGTATTGTACGAGAATGCCTTAAACAATTAATTATATTAAATAGCAAAAAAAAAAAAAATACAGAGTATAAAGGAAATAATCCTTAGAAACAGATAATTTGAGCTTATGTTCATCTTAAATAAAGTTTTCAAACCCTAAAGAAGAAAGAAAACTATTAAACAATACTGATGATGAATAAAGTTAAATAAAAATAATAATTATAAGAGGAGACAAAGTAGAAAACTAAATTCTTAATAGTATAGATATAGAAAAATCAAAAAAAAAAATACAATAGCTTTAGAAGCTAATAATTGGGAGAGAAAATTGAATCAAATATAAAACTATTAATAAAAAGAACACCTCAAAACTACAGCTACAAAGTCAAAGTTAAAGAAACGTTAAAAAATTAAACATTTTAGAAAACAAACCAAATACAAGTGATATTTTTTAATTTAAATTTTCTAAATATTTGTTTGTCTTTTTTTCTTACTTTACAAAATCTGTAGCATTCAAATTATAGCATTCTATGAGTTGGGGACTTTTAAACAGCTCAAGTTTATTACAAATCTTAAGCTAATATTACTGTTATTATTCAATTTAAAACTGTTCTTTTTCAAAAATAATACTCTTACTTATTTAAATAAGAAAATGATGTGTGTGTGTGAGTCTTAAAAATATGATTGAATGTTGAGTCTTCTTCGATTCTTGATTTATTCATTTGAGAGATTCAAAACATCATCACCCGTCTTGGGTATTTTAGCTGGTGGTGGAGCAGCCAAGTCGGCAATTGAGGAAAATTCCATGCGTTTTTTGGTGGCAGCATTGGCTAAGCCGGCATTGGCCAGACCAACACTGAGAGCGGCCAGGGAACCGGGTGGTGCCAACTCACCATACAGACGGGTCAAATCCACGGGAGGCGTATTCGAAGGACGTCGATGCGAAGAAGAGTTACTGCCATCGGAAGGAGCTGGTGAAGGAGTATTGGAGGGTACACTAGAAATGGCCAAATCTACAGCACTAAAATTATATTTACCACCTCCCGAACCGCCGCCGCCACCACCTCCCAGCATTCGAGCCGCCACCACTACCGCCGCCGACTCCAGACAAGGCTGATTTTGTGGGTGTTAGACGTTCCAGGGCTGGTGAGGCCGACGATTCCCGTGTACGGGAGGAGGATGAAGTCGACTTGGGTGGTTTCATCATCATGGCATTTATCGACTCTTGCTGCATTTTCAACAAAGCTGAAGGAGACATGAACAGATTGTTAGCGGCTAATGTTGACTTAGCTAAAGGATCGGGTATACCAAATTTACCAGCTTGTTGTTGTTGCTGTTGAAAGAAAGCGGCATAATCTTGAATTTTCTCATGGGCCAAAGCATTATAATAAGCAGCAGCGGGATCAGTTAAAGGTGAGGGAGCACCAGTGGAATTAGGTCCTGAGCCTCCACCGCCTGATTTGGAGGATGATGGTGTATTTGCCGATGGTGGCTGACCGGTAGGTTGTGCGAATAGAGCATTTAAGTCAGCGGCAGCTTTGTTTTGATGATAGAGTAAAGCATTAAGATCGCTTTGTTGCTTTTCCGATTGCAATAGCTGATTTAACATATCAGTTTGTTGGGTGAGTTGCTGTTGAGCTTCCTTTTGTTTTTGTTTCGATGAAGAGGAGGAGGTGGAGGGACCGCTAGCTCCTCCCACGCCGGCTGATAGCAAGGCAGACAATTCATGTGAAGAGGGACCTGCACCTTTAGCCGCTATTAAAGCTCCAAAGTTGGGATCGAAAAACTTGGTGTATGTTTGCAAGAGTTGAGTATAATCGTTGTGAGCTTGAGCCTGAGCTTGGGCCTGTGCTTGAGCTTGTGCCTGAGCCTGTGCTTGAGCCTGTGCCTGAGCCTGTGCTTGCGCCTGTTGCTGCTGCTGCTTTTTGGAAGTGCTGGGAGTAGGAGCTGAGGGTACCTGTACAGCAGCTGCGGCAGCCGCCATTTGTTGTTGTATGAAAGCATTTAAATCATTATTTTTTGTTTGCTGCTGTAAATATGAATCGTAACCCAATAGCTTGGAGGCTTGTATAAGATTATTATAGTCAGCCGTTAAAGCTGCCGCCGATACAGCGGCTGCATTGGCCGCAGCAGCTGCTGCTGAAGAATTTTTACTTTTACCTCCAGCTGAAGATGAGGCCGAGGAGGTTGAAGGTTGCATACCAGCGCCTCCTGTTAGATAACTAAAATCAGCTCCAAATCCCAAAGTGCCCAAAGTGGTAGCTCCCAAAGCTTCGGCTTGTTGCAGTAAAAGAGCTGCATATTCTGGTGATCTTATGAGTTCACTCATTTTCAAGGGATCATTTTTCAATTCATCCAATTCTTTCATTAGTTTAGTTTTATACGAGTTCGACGAAGTGGATGATGAGGACGAAGAAGATGATGATGAAGACGATTTGGAGGATCTCTCTTTTGATTTGCTTGGTGTGGGTGTAGGAGCTGCTGCCTGTGGCATCATATCTTGCAGGCGAGGCATGTTGAAGCTTTGTGAGTAAGCGGCCACAGCGGCAGCCACATTGGGATCAGAGAAATCGGGTACTCCAGATTGGGCTGCAGCTGAGGTGGATGTGGCTGTGGCGTTTTGTGATTTATTTTGTCCTCCTACTTTTGCGGCGGCTGCAGCCAATTGATTGAGCGATGTACTGCCATAATCTTTGCGTTGTTGGAAGAGTGCGGCCAAATCGGTTTGCAGGAAATTAGGCGGCAGTTGGCCGGCCAATTGAGCCAAACTAGCAGCCATCAAATCATTAGCCGAGGGCATGCCATGCGCTGTTGAGGAGGAAACAGTGGGCGGCACTAAAGCCCCTGTTGTGGGATCAAATTTGTTGGTGGGTGTAATACTAGGGCTGTTGCGGGCTATATCACTAATACTGAACTTGCCGGGACTGGGTGCTGGAGAGTTGCGAGTCCTTGAAGTGTGTGAAGACGTATCAGACTTGGCTGGTGAAGGAGAGGCTCTTACGGGCATTTCAAATTTGGCCGGAGAAGCCGAGTTTGAAGGTATGGTGATGGGACTGTCTCTGGGTGAGGCAGAGGGCAAGTTAGGGGTTGCTGTAGGCAACTGTGGCAATGATGGCAAAGAAGGAGGCATAGGTGGCAGCAAACCCGGGGGAGGAACTGTCGGTGGTTGCACTAGAGGCGGTATAATGGGAGGAATGCTAGTAGCATTTGTAGTGGCTGTGGTGGTGGTTGCAATAGGATTTGGTGTGGCCAAGGGCGATAACATTCTTACAGGATTCATATTGAGACCAGAAGGCAAACATAATTGTTCTTGCAAAGATAAAACCTTTAGTTCACTGGCTTTCTGTTCCGCCTGCTGTTGTTCCTCAGCCGCTCTTAAAGCCTCCTCAGCTGAGCTTAATTGTTTTGTAGTCAAATCATCACACTTTAATTCATCCTCCGGTTTAATTTCCAATTTTGTATCCATATGCAATTTCGGCAATTCTTCTTTAGTGTCAATGATTTTAATGGTTTTTGGTGGTATAAAATCATCTTCCTGCTCACAACCCAAAACGGCACATATCCAATTCCATAAAGCTTTATCATTTTGCTTCATTGGAAACTTGGGATAAAGAGTATTTTTCAGTTTTTCTATATAAGTAACATCGTCACTGAAGACGCTCGAGAAGCGTACCACTTCATTGCGAAATTGTGTGTAGTAATCAACACAGGATTGTATTTCAGTGCGTACCTCTTCGGGTATCTCTTTATCGGGTAAAACTGAGTATTGCATCAGCATGGGGCGGCCATATTCCAAGGCTTGTTTATTTTCATTGGGCGGCATAACCCAAATTGATTTAACCACCGATTCCAAGGTGGGATTTTCATCGAAGTAAGGGGCTAGAAAACAAAAACAGAAAGCAACATTTTATCTTGGGAAAACTCTTATAAAAACGTAACAAACTTACATATCACTAAAGCCACACAGGGCGTATAGGTGGCATCAGAAGATCCTCTCATTTTAATTTGATAATCCAATTGAGCATCACAATCTCGTAAAGTAGGTTCAGCTTGAAACTTGGGATGTGAATGATACCAACCCACTAGTAATAATTGATCTTTCATCATGGCTTTTTGTATCTCACGTTCAACCTCTCCAGCCTTAGAACGATCAAAGCGGGTATTGCGACAGGGATAGGCTTTTGTTATGGCCAAAGCTAAAAAAGAATAAATATATTTAATATCGTTTTTTTTCTTTATAAAATAAACCACTTACTGTGCGAATTAATATCCCAGGTGCCACCCAAATAACCACACACCTCATGCATAGTCAAATGACAGTGAAAATCCGCCAACAGCAATGCGGAGGAGTTCATGGTCAATAGGAATGGTTGTAGTTTGCCAACCGATGTAAATGGTACTGCCTCTATAAGCATATTTGCATCACTGTATGGGGAAAAATGGTAGACATTTGGAAAAACGAATAAAGTTTATAAATTTGTTTAAAGAATTTGCTTTAAATAATACAACTCACTGCATAACATTACGATTAATAATGGTATTATGTTGAAATACAGTACGTTTTATGACAGGCATAGGGGAATCGGATTTTTTATCAGCATCTGTAAAAATTGTATAAAAATTAAGTTTATATATTTTTTTTAATATTTTTTTTTTAAGTATTTTGTTCATAAGAGTTTTCTACAATTAAAAAAAATAGCTCTCAAAATTCGATAAAAAATTTTCCTGAATTTTATTTTTTATTAAAAAAAAAAAAATAATTTTTAAAAATACATAGGTATTTACTTTTTAAAATGCATTTCATGATGCATTTAAAATTTTTCTCTAATTAAAAAAATATTTTTAGGCCCATTAACTCAATCTCTGGTTATCGTTTTTTATGAAAACTGTCAATGTATCGTTTATTTATTATATTTTTGCAACTTACCCCCATCAATATCCTCCGAAATTGAATCCTTTTGTAAGGCACATTTACGCAGCCAACTATTTTTATAAGAATCCAATTTTTACCTTTATACTTAACGGAACCCCAACCGCAACCACTTTTCTTTTCGGGATTAATAATACGCTTACAATTCATGGCCCAAGCACTGGGCGTTAGAAATACTGTTTCAGTTTCTTGGGATTTAATTTTGCCATCGGGCAGCAAATCACCCACAAACTTTTGTCCCAAATATTCTATGGTCATAACCGATTTGCCGGGTTGTAAAACATTGGCCGCCATTAGCGTTTGTAAGGTGATATTGCGGCCAGTGCCATTGAAACCTTCATAGTTTTCTTTAGTCTAGGAAAAACCATAATAAATTATTGAAAAACACTTACAAATTCATAACACAAAAACGTAATGAAACTCACCTCATCATCGGCATCATCCTCACCCACATCACTATCCTCTGCTTTGTCCATTTGTCCGCTCTCAGCATCTACAGTACCAGCTGCAGTATCTAATGAGGAGGACGCCGCTGTTACACCAGCTACAGATGTTGTGGTGGTGGCAGACGCCGCTGCACCACTTGTTCCCAATGAAGCTACCGACGCTGCAATCACCTGCGTTATTGTGTCTGACAAAGTCGATGACATCGCGGCTTCGCTGGCAGTCGTTGCTGTCACTGAAGCGTCTATTTCTTCATTCATCGAATTTCCAGTCAATTCATTTTGTTTTCCTAACATTTTTTCATTATCCGGCTGTGGTTCGAGTTCACCCTCCTGCATATTATGTTTTTCTCACAATTTTATTAATAATTTTTATAAATTTTTATGATATTTTGCACAAATTTTACGGGAGACTCGTTGATGAATTGTGTATCTGCTGCGAAAAAATTTATTTGTTTCTTTTTCTCTGTATCTTTTGTTGATGACATTTACAGGGTTGCATTTTTAGGCATTACTATATAGTATAAACTATTCACAATAGCGTGAAATGTACTAGGTGGCGCAGTGTTGTTTTTAACCCTTGTAGGAAACTTTTTTCTAATCAAAAAAATGTCTACCGATAAATACGTTTAAATAAGAAAAAACATATTAATTGTAAATTTCTTCCATTACTAGGCGTTAAGGCTTAAAATAATACCACTTGTTCTTATTTTAGTTACAAAATTTATTTTTCTTTTTTTTTCAAATAATTCACAATAGCAGAAAAACACAACAGATGGCGCTGTTTTATTTGTTTACATTTTGTGTTTTGTTGTTTATTTTTCATAACATCAAAACTTTTTTCAAAAATATTTGATTTAGTTCATTAGAAACGCTTTAATAATATTATTTATTAAATTTAAATTTTATGTTTGTACTGAAAGCATAAATTTGCATGCACAAATCTAATTTAAGACCAATTCACAGTCTCCCGCCTTTTCCATCAACTTTGTGAATGAATAATTAAAATGTAGTGAAAATTTAACTAAACCCCGATTGCTGTCAAGTTTTGCAAAGCTTCAATAAATTTATTATTTTATAGTGTTTTTTAACATTTCTTAAAAATGTGGAAAGATTTATATATATTCAGCTATTGAAAATGATTTTAACTAATTAAAAGCAAGAACTTAAGACTTACAGAAATGCAATGTCCCAGGCTTTAAGAAATGGTAAGTTCTAATATGACAAATTTATTTTCTACATTTTAATTAACATATCGTAACTTGTAAAATAGCATAACAAACCAAAAAATGGCTCATTGAAATGGAATTGAAAAGGGCGTAACGACAAATTAGTTATATTCTCAAGTCAAAAGTCTTTAAGAGCAACATATTAAAAATGCATTGGCGGGCCACATCTATCTACATATCTATCTATCTATCTATCTATCTATCTATCTATCTATCTATCTATCTATCTATCTATCTATCTATCTATCTATCTATCTATCTATCTATCTATCTATCTATCTATCTATCTATCTATCTATCTATCTATCTATCTATCTATCTATCTATCTATCTATCTATCTATCTATCTATCTATCTATCTATCTATCTATTTATCTATATATCTATATATCTATATATCTATCTATCTATCTATCTATCTATCTATCTATCTATCTATCTATCTATCTATCTATCTATCTATCTATCTATCTATCTATCTATCTATCTATCTATCTATCTATCTATCTATCTATCTATCTATCTATCTATCTATCTATCTATCTATCTATCTATCTATCTATCTATCTATTTATCTATATATCTATCTATCTATCTATCTATCTATCTATCTATCTATCTATCTATCTATCTATCTATCTATCTATCTATCTATCTATCTATCTATCTATCTATCTATCTATCTATCTATCTATCTATCTATCTATCTATCTATCTATCTATCTATCTATCTATCTATCTATCTATCTATCTATCTATCTATCTATCTATCTATCTATCTATCTATCTATCTATCTATCTATCTATCTATCTATCTATCTATCTATCTATCTATCTATCTATCTATCTATCTATCTATCTATCTATCTATCTATCTATCTATCTATCTATCGAATATTTTGTTATGTATGCTGATTTGATCAATGAAAGAAAACTCATAGTTTTTTTCATAAAATAAATTTATTTATTAAACTTCGCAGATTACCCTATTCCACTTTATCCATTTGCGTATTGCACGGTTTTTGCTCACTTTCTACCACAAAAGGACGCGGTAAACCCTCCTGAGATTCACGTTTTGGAGTAGAATATTGGAAACTACTAAAGTTCACACTAATTTTACCACTGTTACGCAACAAAGGCATAGGACGAGCTATAGGTGTACCCAAACGATTGCAAACTTTGGCAGAACTGGCCCTAGCAGATGATGGTGGTCTTGGTGAAGATGTGACAGCAGAACTTCTTACCAGTTCTGGTTTTGTCTTAACGTGTGTCTCTTTGGGTTGTACTATCATAGCCTCACGACACGCTTCTTTTTCGAATTGTTTAACACGTTCACGTAAGGCTGTCTCTCGACTTACTTCACGTGTTATTTCCGTGCGTCTTTTCTGCTCATAACGTTCTAAAGCTTTTTCGTCACGTTCCTTATTTCTTGAGATTATTTGATCGGAATATTCTAAGCGTTTTTGAAATAACTCTTCTTTATTTAATTTCTGAAAGATTTCTAGCCAAATGCCCTTTTCTTTTTTGATCAGAATTATACGTGCCTCATTTTTGAATATGCGACAAAAGCTGGCCACTTCATCGATTTCCTGTGTCAGATGTCGTTCAAAGAATATGGGTGGATTGTTAAATTTTAAATATGTTGGCAGCAGCACAATATCCGGTTTGCGGGTTATTAAACGATTTAACTCAATGATGATTTTAATTTCTTCTTCGGTTTGAGTTACTTGAACCATTATCGCAAAATATTATTCTTCTTTAAAATAAAGTTCAATGATTTTTTTGAGGTTTATTTTATTTTTTGTAAAAAAAAAAAGAAATTACGACTGATAAATATTTTTAAAAATATACACTTTGCTGTTGTAAAGACCAATTCTTTGTGTCAAACCATGAAATCAGTTTGTAAAATTTTTGTTCTTTTGCATTTTCCTTATTGTTTGTTTGTAAACTTTTGATTAGAATGTCATTTAGTTTTATTAGCCGCTACTTTTGCTCCCTGCTCTATGGTTACCTCCCTCAGACCTTAACGACCATCAATAACAATCGATTTAACAAATTATAACCATTATTTGTTGATTAAGTGCACAAAAGTCAATACAAATTGTATTGTAAATCTCAATTTCTTATAAACTTTTTTTTTGTGGTAGCATGTGTTCAATACTGCACGCTTTGTCGTCGAATGTTACCGTTAGTAAGTGCACTGAGAGATTTTTTCACATAATATGCTCTTTATCAATGAAATTTATGTTTAGTAATCGATTCAGAATTGTATTTTTTGTGCCGATTAAAAGATCTCCGATCTCTTATGTTCCAATACAATGTTTCCTTGAAACTAGACATTAAAGGTCATAAATGTTTGAAATGTATTTCCACATAAAATTCTGCCAAATTTATCGAACCAAAAAAAAAAACAAGACATACAAAATTGTGTGCTGATAGGCTTTCATGGTCTTTCAATAAAATGTTGTTTGCTGATCTGTTAAAAATCAAAATTGAAGCTAAAACATTCTTGCAATATTTTCAGAGTGTACTAGGAAGGAGTTTCGCTCCCAAAAGCTTGAACGTTATATGTTAGAAATATACCCTACATAACCTATCCTCCAAAATTCAATGCGATATAACTTAATTTGTACTTTCGTTTCAAAATGTTTAACCCTTAATAAAACATGCAAATTCTCCCGAATAGGTTTAAGAAAGATTAAAATTTCGGTATTTTACGATTTAAAAGGAATTAATCTAAAACTTGATATAGATTTGACGTCATTTGTAAAATATATATTCATCTCTAAATGCCTTTGCAGTTTCGTGCCATATTTCGGCTGTTAAAAGGTTTTATCGAAAAATCGTAAATCTTAACCTTTGAATCCGATTATAATTGTTTAAGATTCCAGATATTTAGGAAATCATTAGTATATATCATTTTCAATAATCTATATCGCAGATTTTAATGACATGCTAAAGAATCGACAGAAACATTATCAACCATATCTCCGATTTGTCGAAATATGTTCTTAATTGCAATTCACTCTATCTGTCCGAACTTAGACGATACTCTGTAGCATTGAATTGGGTTCTAAAGCACGAGTATATTTGCCAACGAATGGCAATTAATAGATCATCTTTTAATAAAAGGATATCGCTCGGCAATTGGACGAAAGAAAGTTCGGAAGTCATAAAGTCCACTATAATCACATGCATAGTATCCAAGTTGCTCTAGCTATGTATTTCACGGGAAAAGACCTTGACTCTGAAGTATTGGATGGTTGGACACATGTCAGATTAACTTTTACATGGTTGTCCATGTAACAGTTAATACAGATCTTACCTAAACAAAGGAAAGTCAGAGATATCTGCTAACTGGCTGAGGTATTATCAAATATCGGATGAAATATGTATACAGTCAGCAAATCTGTGAACAGAAATCTGACGGGTGTCTTTACGACATATAGATTAACCGAAAAATGCCTCGTATCTCTGAATGAGACAGAGAAATATTATAGGATAACGCCTCGGACATAGTAACTGTGAGGGAAAAATGTATAGCTGACGAACTTGCCAGGAATGGTGCGATGAGAGCGGAAGATGAAATCGATGCATTTACCGGTATCTCCCTTACAAACTGTCACTGGTTCAGACTGAACTATATGAAATGGCTCAAATCAGATGGTATAGCGAAACCACCTGTCTCTCTACGAGGTCAATTTGACCTCTATACAATGCTCCCAAATCAAGCTTATAGTTATTTCTCAGGGTGCAGATAATAATGCTGGTATCAGACATAACGGGACACTGTGCAATTGACAATCCCGCCAGAAGAAAGTGTTTTTAATATAACTACTACTCTAGTAGTTGTAATAATCAGGATGAAGAGGAAACAATACCTCACCTCCTCTGCTTTGCCTTGCAGCTCTCTCTGGTTTGGATGAGCTATCTGGGATATGCCCTAAAAATATTCTAAATTGAATCTGGTTTAAATCTGGAAGTAGAGAGTAGTACTTAAATAGGCTCCTACTACCACTGGGGCATCACAACGGGACGGCAATTGGGTAGACCTATGTGAGCCACTAATTATTGATTGAGTGGACGGCAATCGGCACAGTACCTCTTATGTAACTGGCCAGCTCTATAAGAGTACAAACTGTGATATCTTAGCGCAGGATTATCTTTCACGTTTTGGATTTTCTCTAGGATGTGTTACTAAGGGATCTTAACGAATTTGTGAAAAAGTATCGGATAGTCAAAAATTTCAGATGTTAAACTAATTGTTTTTATTTTTTAATTACTGACCCACGGTCCGTATAATTAAAGATTTGGATACCGACGATATTTTGGATTTTCCGAAGATTTCAACAAGCAGTCAGCTAGAGAGACAAACAGCCATAGCTTTATCGATTCCGCTATCTATAAAGATCCAGATAGCGGATAGCATCGCAAATTAGGAAATCATTCCTGTTAGAACGTTTAATCATGATACATGCTTTATCTTTTAAGCAAGATCCACTCTTCTCGAAATCTATAATATTTTGTATAGTTTCTTCTTATGACCATCTATAGGGTATCTAACGTACGCTATATGTATACTGAGTAGTTTTCCCTTAATAATACATTTTTATTTATTATCTTCATATTTCCCTAAAAGTTCAATAAACTGACAAATCAAAATATTATTTAAGACAATATTTGCATAGACATTAAATATGCAATGTCAATAATTTCTAACATTTGTTTTAATGACCCAATTATGTCATAAATAATGTAAGAGCGTTGATAATACAAATCAAGAGACTACAATTCAAATTTTAATGAGTTAATACATGCACCTTAAAGTAGTATTAAAGTTATAAAAAAAAAAAAACATTTGGGGTGACCACATTTTATTTTTTAAAAATATATTTATTTATCAAAGTTTTTTTTTTATTAAATTTAAAAATTTACATAATATAATTTATATACAATAAAAATATATGTTTATTGGTACGTATTGCACAAAATGTTAAAATTTTGTTTAAGGATTAAATTAAAATTTTTAAAAAGAAAATTATCACTTAAAATAACTACAAAAAACAATTCTACAATTGATCAAGCACTTTTCTTGCGAACATTCAACAGGCCACCATGCGATGACCGCCCTGCTCATGATCATCTTCGAATGATACCCAAGTGTTTTGTAAATATTTTCGTACATCATTATCGGTGGCCGCTAAATCGATAAGAGGATTATCAACTTTCTTTTGTTCATCGGGTGTATTATAATGTATCTCAGCTTTGGATTCGATGAAACCAAAACCATTTTGTTCTTTAAGAATATTTTTGGCTTCAAATTTAGCACTACTCTCAATATTGTTGTTGTTATTGTTGGTGCTATTATTATTGTTAACCTGTTTCACCTGATGAACCACTGTATCACGCCAATTTTGATAGGCATTCTCAAAGCAACGTGCCACCAACAAAGTAATTTCATGGGCAATTTTACGTTTAGGACACAAAAATACATGGCAAGACAATTTCTCCTTATCCGACAGAGGATCCGGTTCAGAACTCACAAACGAGAAAGCATGATCATTGGAGGCATCTACAGAACAATAGGAAATTTTATAGATGGAAAAACGCATTAGGGAATCATCGGTAGCATGATCCAATACTTCAATACCCTCCTGTGAGATATTAACTTTGACGCGTTTTTGTGTTTTAATTTTTCTACCACCCGCTTTGGCATTGGCAATCACAGTTTTTATAGCCTCCGAAGTAACTTTTTCGGAACGTTTATTATCGATGGGTGTACAACCCAGATATTTGATGTCGTACGTCTGAAATATAGGCTTAATATCTTCCTCATCATCAGCCTCCAAACTGCCCTCAAAGTTCAATTTTAAATCATCAGTTTGTTTAGCATCTTTGGGGGTTTTCACATCTAAGCCCCAATCTTCACCGTCTATCGCATCGTCTGATGTAAATTCTGTGTTAATTGCAAAAACAAATAATAAACATTATATTTAATAGTATTTTTATTTATAGATTTTGTTGTTGTAAAATTTGTAATAAATTGATAACCCTTATATGAACTCAAGGTAGAGTCGGCTGTTTATAAAGAAAACTACTTAGACTAGATTGAGAGATTAAAGAAAAATTGCGAGGGTATTTTTTTGTTTTTGCAAAAAATGCGTCGTACATATTTAAATTTTATTAAACAAATTTCCAAAATTATCAAGATTATCAAGGCTTTAGAACTTCTACAATATTTATTTAGTTCCCTATGGATTATATAAACAGTTTTATGATTTTTGTAACTCAATTACTTTATAATGTTATATTTGTAAAGGATCTCAAAAAATGTCAATATCTGAGAGTAATTCCAGGTCGATTTCCTTCTCTCTAGAGAGGCAAAGTCGGTGGTAACATTCTTGCGGATTCGCTAAGAGTTGTAACAAAATAAAAAAGAACTAAGAATATCTCTTTACTTATTAAGATCATTTCACATTTGAAACCAATGATCTCTCGATAATAGAGGCGATATTACTTATACCAGCTAAACTTAACTTTTAGCTAGTGTCTCTTACAATGATTGTCTAGAAAGTTTCTCAATTATAGGAGAGAGACATGATACGTCTGAGATATTTACTTGTTTGGGCAACTTTACTTATGGACTAGATCATGAGAAGTATCACAATTTCTAGACCTTAATCATATATTACAATCAAAAGGCATAAAAATGTATTCATATAGGGGTTCATGAGATTAAATAAATTACTCAGGAGTCCATGTAGTTGAAAACATTGTGGATACCAGCCATACCAGGGTATAATCAGACAATACCAACAACTTTTATCGCTTAATAAAACTGATCTCAGAATAATAACTGCATTGTTCATGGGACACTGTAATCTCAGATATTATCAATTAACCGTGGGAAAAGCTGCAACGAATCTATGCTGATTAAGGAAAACTTCACTAGGCCTTCACTAGGGTTCCGTAGAGAGCAAGGATTTTGAGTTATGCCTTCTTAG